AAATTTTGAAATTTCTTCGATTCGATGAAAAAATGAAGCCAAAGTCTAAAGATCGACAAATTTCCTCTAATTTCAGATGTATGGAACAGATCTATTGAGAATAATCAAAATAGCTACGTGCCCGATATGAATCCGACTGTTGATGAGCAACTATTCCCTATAAAAGTGAGATGTAAATTTACACAGTACATAGTAAGCCTGATAAATTTGACATCAAATTTGGATAGCATCGGATGCCAACAGTAAATATATTATAAAATGGATTTCCATATTTGGAAAAAGAAGAAAGGCGACCGTCGTTACGTGATGAATTTGTTGTCCTCAAACTAATCGGACCATTTACTCAATGTTGGAGACATGTTACGACAGACAACTTTTTCACGAGTGCATCACTGCGACAAATTTTTGGCGAAACGAACAGCATTAGTTGGAATTATTCGAAATAACAGAAGAGAATTGTCCAAACTGGTGAAAACAAAAGACAAAATGTAACGTGTCTCGACAGTAATTTATAAATCAAATAATTGTACTCTAATGATTTATAAATCCAAACCGAGCAAAAAAGTTATAATACAAAGTTCGAAGTATAAATGTCAATAACGAAAGCGAATGTCTGAGACAGTTGCGTATTATAATAAATACGAAATTCAGCGTCGATGTCACCGATCAAAATACAGCGTCAAATTCAAATCCTATAGATGGCCTGTGCAAGTTTTTTTCAATATCCTTGATTTGGCCGGTATCAATGCATTTATAAGGAAACAAGTGAACGAAATATATCAAGACAACAATTTCTACTACAATTAGCAGAAAAGCTTGCCGAAGACTATCACGAATTTTTCTAAGAAGAAAATTGAAGCAACGGAGTCGATCATTGATCTTTTCGACAGTGTCTTAACGGTAAACAAATTTAGACCATCGAATTTGACGACGATATTTTGAAGTCACTAGTCGAAAGTTATACAAGGTTATCGATTGATGAAATATCAGGAAAGCTTAATTCTCTTTGGCCAACAGTGTAAGAACATTTAAAACTAAGTGGCAAAACAAATGGGAATTTGGACACAAATTGTCAGCCAGATAATAAGGAGCAGAGGAAAACAATTTGCAATTCTTTGCTGATAAGGTAATAATAAATGAACCGTTTTTACACCGTGTTGTAACTGCAGATGCATTCGTGAATGCTTTCATTTGCAAATTCGGAGCACCGAAAGAAATCTTCACAGATCAGGCATCTAACTTCATAAGTTCGCTTTTCCGCACCACAGCCAAACGCTTTAAAATTTCCCAATACAAGATCACTCCGCAAAGGAACGGCTGGATTGAACGATCACATCACATTCTTATAGAATATCTAAAACATTACATTATCTATAACGATTGGGATCAATGGCTGAACCTCACTGTTTTTAGTCGATGACAGATAACGCACAAACAAATGACATCGCTTAGCATTATTCTCTCGCACAGCGATTATTAGAAATTTTATTCTTGTACATTCTGTCTAAACATTGTCTATCCTGTTCTTGTAATCCTCAATGTGAACTATAATCGTCTTATTTTCTTCATATCCAACAAGTCGAGCCATTCGCTTAACTTTGCGACCGCGTCGCGACGGAACAACCTTCGCGCGTGGCCAATAAATGGACCTCGAAGACGCTCCAGCCCGCAAATTTCACCGCGGATCCTGTCCAGAATCGGACAAAAGGTTGCCACCAGTTTACACATCTCGGACGAACTATAGCAGTCAACCTTCCACCATCGTCGGGCAAGCCGAGACGTAACAGTTGATGCACATCGCTCGTTTCTTTCGGTGCGACTGGTACGTTTCGCGCAACCGCACGGTATAACGTTGCACAGAGTGAGGGAAGCGTTATAATCAGCTACGAAACACGAGTTCAATCAGTTGCGTGAGTGCCGCGAAACTGTGTGTGAGTGTGATGTTTCGACTGCAATTGCATACATTCGTTCAATCGTTACGTTCCATTCTAAATGTACGCTTGGTAATTTCCAATTACGGTCCACGATAATATTCGCAGGTCGATTCAAGCGATAGCTACACGTATCGTACGACGTTTCGGGAAATTTGTTGCAATTTCTAATCATCGAAAGATCGAAACTCGCCGCTGATATCGATTTTGTCGTGAGTCGATGTATTCAACGAAAGCACGGAACATAACGCAAATTTCATACTTTTTACACACAGATTTCTAACAAGTACAGTTCCATTGATTTCGTTTCGATCAGTCAGCGATACGAAAATCGCGTTTCACATTTCTTAAAACAAAGTTTCTTCGAAAACAAAGGTTCGTCGCGGTCAAAAACATTCGCAAAGGTAAGTAGAAAGTTCTATCACACGCGAGAGAATTCGCGGTGCCAGTGTTAGTCGCGATCGATACAACAGCGATACTTTTCCACACGAATCACAGGAAAGGTCGCCATTTTTGACGAATCGAACAGATCTAAAAAAAAAATAACAACTTTCTCTCGCAACATGCGTTTCTCTGTTAAATTTTCAGTGTAGACAGCGAATAACGTTGAACGAAAACTTTTTACATATCACACGTAAATAATTGCATGTTTTTCAGCGATCGATAGTATCATTATTTTCGTTTATTTCGCAACGAATCCTACCGTCTACCAAGCTTTATCGCGATAGTTCGTCATTGTCCTTCAAATGGCACGGTTAATATCGAGATCACTCACATCGACGCTTACTAATCTCACTGTCTCTCGCGTCTCTGCAAGTAACGTCCGAATAATCGTACGAATAATTTACGATTGCATACGTACGATCGAATCATTCGTACGACGAACATTACGATCGTCGCGTCGTTGACAGATTCTTTTATTTCTTACAACACGTCTGACTACGTATCGACGTTCTCGCTACTCTATATCAACCGCGCAAATTTTTCATGCAATAAAAATTGAAAAATCTAATCGTCTGGTACCAATTGATCCTAACATTGGCTAGTTAGTCAATAGTTCAAGATTACAATCGTTTTATGGTTCATTAGTACCATTGAGTGCATAAGAAAAAGTTATAAGTAGCATAAAAAATTTTTTTTTTTCATTTATTAGAACATATTTAAACTCGTATGTTTTCTACAAATAACAACGTATCAAGTAAAGAGTTACATTTCATTTATAACTGACAAATCAAATATTTCAAAAACATCTACGAAACTTCAAATGTATACCAAGGGAAAAGAAATACTGATCCATTATGTCTCATTGAAAGGCATTTTCCAAGTACATATTTTAATCCTTCGAAATTAAATCTTCGAAAAAAAAAAAAAATCAAACGCAAAAGTGTATAGTATGTAGTAAACATAAAATCCGACGAGAAAGTAGATATCAATGCAAGAATGCGATGTAGTTTTATGCTTTAGAATATATCACACACAAATTGATTATTAATCGTTTATATTACCATTATGTTAAAATTGTCAAATTAAATTTTTTTTTTCATTAACAATTTTGGATTTTTTCCTTTATATTTATTATATTTATTCCTTTATTTATCAATTAAAATTGAAGGAATGTGCGTTTTGGTCAGTGGACAACCAGTCGCATGCGAATATCCCGTCGTCTGTATTGATGAAAATAATGATAATAATACAACTACTCAACTGCCCATGCGGATCAGAAACACAAGATATCAATCACATTCTATGGCATCTCCATGAGGCGCAAAGAACCAACATGATCAACCGCTTGCTTAAAAACGGATGGTAACTGCCACATCAATAGACAGTATTCTAGCCTTTCCCAATTATAAGAATATTCTAACAATTAGCTCCTTTCTTCGCTACCATAACATCTCAATATAATTAAAAACACTATAACAACCTTTCCTCCATCAATCTTATACCATACTCCAATCACACTTACAACTCTACACGCAAGATCGCAGTACAACTCAGGAACCTCAGTCGCTCATCTTGCCAGCCACTTCAATTTCCTACTAGAATCACTAGATAACGAATGGTATTAGACACTATAGTATAACTGGACTGGGCACTATAGTATAACTGTAAACCCTACGGTCTTTCTCTTTTTCAATAAATTCAATAATGTGATCAGTTAAATCAGCTGAAAGCGAATATCAAAGAGCCAGAACTAGTCAATAGAAGAAGCATAATTTTTCACCACGACAATGCAAGATCGCAAACTAGACAAAAATTAAGGAAGTTTAACTGCAAAGTTCTTATTTATCCAGCTTTATCCCTTTCAGATTATCATTTATTTAGATCATTGAAAAATTCGCTTAATGATGAAGAATTATACAATTGTCCACAAGATGGAAAAAAAATCACACAAAATAATAATGGACAATATATTATTGAATTAAATTTTCGTTATTTGCAAAAGGATGTCTATTTTATACCCAAAAATGCGACATTGCTCATGGGATAATTCAATATATCCTCGAAATTTCACGAAAATTGAGAAACAGGATTAAAAACTATTGAGATTTTTATGTTTTACTGAACATCAGACAAAAAAATCTTGATCAAATTATTAAATCCTGGTGAAACAATAATAGCAGAAAAATGTTGTCAGGAAATTAAAAAAAAAAAAAATGTATGAGAAGCTATATCGTTTACGGTCAGCATTAATCAAACGAAGAGAAAACTAATTCTTATTTGTGACAACGCACGAACCAATGTTTCTTCTTTTGACTTTAAAAAAATTATATAAATTATATTCGGACCTGTTTCCGACAAATTTTCATTTTTTGAAACATTTGAGTAACATTTCCTATGAAGGAATATTTTCAAAGGTGAAGCAGCAGCTGAAAGCACTTTCGATAAATTATGTTCGATCAAATGATCTATGAAAGTTTATTGTGGACAATCAGTTAGTAGAGGTAGAAAAATTGAATTAGTTAAATGTTTGTTTCGAACTGACAAGGAAATTACTTTATATATCGACAACTTTTACTTTTTGAGATACTTCCGGCACGAGCATGCAACAGTTAATTAGACAACGAAGCTTAACACTGCTTATCTTATCTTCCAAATACTTTGTGGGTCCTTTGCCTGCAGGTATAATCGTTATTCCATTCAGTTGATATTCTTTCCACACAGAGAGCAGACTTAGTATTATTGTCATTTACTGCTTTTTTTTCTTGTTTTTAACATTCATTGATACTTATCTAATTTTTTATGTTTATAGAAATTATATCCTGAAATGTCTAAAAAATGACAAAAAGCTAATGAATAAGATGTGTAAAGCAGTAATGATGAATTTTATATGGATTATCATGGCTCAGACAATGGCAGCGATATTACATTGCCTACAAAAGAACGTGTAGTGCAATTATATTCAAGTCAAATACTGAAGAGATATTAGGAAGTAATATTCCCAAATGAGAATGCTATGTAGCAAGATGTCACACACGAAGATACTAATTCACCAAAAATAAATTTTTCTACGAGATTAAGAAGTACCGGTGCACACATTCTTCCAACATGCACAGAGCCGATTGATTTTTTCATCTGTATTTTACTGATGCTTCAGAGTATCGTAAAACAAACAAATCGGCATGCTAAGACATAATTGCAGACAAGGTATTCATCAAGA